TCCACAGACACACACTCATCTATAAGGTCACACACACACACAGCTGACATGCTCAGCACACACATACAGTCATGTATAAGGTCACACACACAGAGCACACACAGCTGACACGCTCAGCACACACACGTACAAGCTCGCACATACAGAGCACACACAGCTGACACACTTAGCACACACATACACTCATCTACAGGCTCATACACACAGAGCACACACAACTGACATGCTCAGCACACAAACACTCATCTACAAGCTTGTATACACACAGCTGACATGCTCAGCACATACACTCATCTACAAGTTTGTACACACAGACACACAGAGCTGACACATTTAGCACACACACACATCTACCTACAAGCTCATACACACAGAGCACATACAGCTGACATGCTGAGCACACACACTCACCTACAAGCTTGTATACAAACAGCTGACATGCTCAGCATACACACTCATCTACAAGCTTGTACATACAGAGCACACACAGCTGACACACTCAGCACACACACTCATCTACATGCTTGTACACACATACAAAGCACACACAGTTGATATGCTCAGCACACACACTCATCTACAAGCTTGTACACACAGAGAGCACACACAGCTGATATGCTCAGCCCACATACATTCACATACAAGACCGTACACACACAGAACACATGCTGTCACACACACAGATACACAGATACACATTAACGACCTCACAGAGATAGCACACCTTCATACACTGATTCACAAGAACACACACTGACTCCCATGCTGTCACATTAGCACATATAAAGAACACACATCCTTTGGCTCACACGGCTACTAAAGCTGGCCAGATGCTCATTACTGAGTCCACATACAAAACACCCATACAGGCTCACACACCTGCCAGCACACACACACAAACACTGTGAGCTCACACACACATCAGCTCACACACTGGAACCACCATGGGAACGATGACATGCAATTGTGACCTGAGTCCTAATCCTCAGTTCTGGAGTATGGTGGGCACCCACCTCGGCCCTCGGCTGTATATCCTGAGCCATGGGGACACAGCTTCCTGTAGGCAGAGGTGCCAGGCAGGGGACAGAGCTCACAGTGGGCCCCCCAGCCACGGCCCCCCACGCAGCAGCACTCCGCCTTGCTAACTGCCTCGCCGTTGCTCGATGACGCCTGGCACACTGCTTGCAGCACCTCGGAGAAGCAGAGGCCGTGCCGGGTGTCTGCAGAGAGTGGGGCGAGGGGTGACAGGGTGGGCTTACAGATGTCAGATGCAGGACAGATGAGGAACAAGCGAGCCTTGGGCACAAAGGCAAACCAAACCTATTCCTGAGGACAGAATGTGACCACCCTTGGACCTGGAGAGAACAGGAGGTCCAGGGTAACAGGAGGACAGGTCATCAGGGAGGTGGCCAGGTGGGTTCAGGTGGGGTCAGGATGTGTGGGAGTGGAAAACACAGACTTGGGGAGATGGGGAGGGGTGTGTGGGAGCGGAGAGGACAGACCTGGGGGGATGTGGGAGAGGGGAGGACACTTTGGGGAGGGGTAGAAGAGGTATGACCACAACAGCCTGAGGTTGACCCTGAACTGATTTTGGGGTAGGTTGCATGCAGGATTGAGGTGTCCAGGAGGCAGCTGGTGCAGGATTTGGGCACAGACATGGGGGCTGTGAGCTGTGGAGGAGGAGGGTGCTCTGAGGTAGGAGGAGAGCAGACATTGGGGAGGGCTGACATGCGGGCTTACAGAAGATGCCACGGTGGATGGTATCAGGAGACATGCGCACAGAGAGCCTACAGGATAGACCCCAGGAAGCCGCGGGCCTGGGGAGGAGCTGTTCCCGGGATGGGAGGGGTCGTAGGAGCTGGGGCCTGAGGTGTGGTCAGTGTTTGAGGAGAGTGGGGGGCGGAGCTGTGTATTCAGATGAACTCCATCCCCTTCCCACTCCAGTCCCGTCCGTGCCCCAAGTCTGGTGCTCACCCTGGCATTCAGATGAACTCCATCCCCTTCCCACTCCAGTCCCGTCCGTGCCCCAAGTCTGGTGCTCACCCTGGCATTCGGTGAGGGAGGAACTGGGCTGGAAGCCCTCGTCACATACGCAGCGGAAGCTCCCCATGGTGTTGACGCAGCGGCCGTGGGCACAGAGGTCCGGCTGGGAGCGGCATTCGTCCTCATCTGGGGGCGGAGAGGGCTAGGCCAGAGGCCGATGGCCCCGAAGCCAGATCCCACCACAATCCTTCCTCAGCTATGTCTGCGGACCCCTTACCCTGACCTTTCCTCTTCGTAGGGGCCTCATCTGTACCTGCACAGCCCTCCCCGGGGCCAGGCGGGGGCCGCGTGCCTGGTGGGCAGACACACACGAAGGTACCGATGAGGTTCTTGCACACCATGCCACGGGCGTGGCAGTCCTGTTGACCATTGGCACACTCGTCCACGTCTAGGACAAACAACCATGAATGTGTAGCACCGGGCTGTGAGAACCCAGAGGCGGGACCTGGGGAGAATGTAGCCTGCCTCCTGCTCCACCCAACCCCACTCTGCACCGCCCCCCCCCAGCCCAGTTCAGCCCAGGGCTCGGGGAGAGGCCAAGGGAACCAGGACTGCCCCAAACACCACATCTTCTGCCCACGCTAGGATTGAGAATCATCCCTGAGTCTGTCTGGCCTTCCCCAAGGCCCCTGGAACATAGAACCAGAAACAGCTCCTAAGGACCAAGTCCTAACCCAGGATTTCTAGGCATGAGTAGAGTTGATTCCACTCGTGGTGGTGACCCCATGTGTGTCCAAACAGAACTGTGCTCCAGGGATTGGGGCCTTTTGGCAGCAGATCGCCAGGGCTTTCTTCTGAGGTGCTTCTGGGTAGACTCAAACCACCCACCTTTCACTTAGAAGTCAAATGCTTATTAACCCTTTGAATGGCCCAGAGACTCCTCTACTGACATTGTTGTTCGTGATGCTGTTCAGTTGGTTCTGATTCACAGTGACGTCATGTGACAGAGTAGGACTGCTCCCTTGGGTCTGTGAGGTTGTCACTTTATGGGAGAAGACTCTCAGGACTTTCTTCCACAGGGCTGTTGGGGTAGGTCTGGCTGCCAACTTTTTGGTTAGCAGTACAGTGCTTAGCCACTGTACCACCCAAGTTCCTCCTATGGACATGGGTGGCGGTGGTGGTGGGCTGTTGCTCTTTGTTGTGAAGGGCCGTCCTGGGGGTAGTAAGAAGTTGAGCAGCAACCCTGGTCTCTACCTATGAGATGCCAGTAACAACTCCTCCTCCTCCCCACCAAACTGTGGCTATTAAAAAAAAAAATCTCTAAACATTATTAAAAGGAGCTCTGGTAGCATACTGGTTACAAATC